CAACCAAAAATTGGTTTAATGTAAACAAAAGTGTGGTTAATACTACCAAATCATTGTTGAAAATATCAACCATGGCATTGTTAATATTAAACAAAAATAACTTGGATTCCTTTTTAAGTTTTAATTTGGTAATAATAAAAAAGAAATGGTTGATCTTTTTCTCAGTGTAAATATACGTACAAAGCAAAAAATCACAGAACATCTGAAACATGAAAAGTCGACAATAAGTCGATCTGCCTAACCGAGTTATTAGGGTTGTGTACTTCCACCCGGTAGGACACAGATTCCATTACAGGTCCGCCCAACATTAAATTTTTTTTTTTTCCTTGCGAGGCAATGGCGAACCTCGGAAAGTACTTCTGTCATGAAAAGGCTTCTCAAAAAGTTATTTGCATTCTGAAGTCGGCGTAGAACTGTAGGCCCCTCCATTTTTGTAATAACATCAAGACACACACCTCAATACTCGAGTAGAAGCTCGGCCTACACTTAACAAAAATGTGAGAGACTATGCGAGTAAATGTGATTGATTAGTGGCAACTAAAATTAAAAAATTATCTGCTCTTTAAAGTCAAACGTACACTCGTCTCTGAACATATCTTATTTGGCCGGTAAAGGCCGTATGCAGCACACAAGAAAAGCTCAACCTCCATATAAAATGACGTACAAGAAATGGCTAAGAAATTTCCTTGTGTAAAATTTTCTTGAGGCAGTACGCTGTTCTTAAGAAAATTGCTACGCTTTCTACTACGGTTTTCTAAAGATTTTTTTATAGAAAAAGAGCACAAGGCAAACCATATTTGCAACCGAAATATATGCCCGTTCCATTATTTTTTGAGGAAATAGTGAGGCAACAGGCTGTGAAGAATCAGATGTCAAGATTCCTTGGACACACACACGAAATAATTGCAATTTTCTTCTTCACAGTTTTCTTGAGAGCTGCAAACTGGCCTTAAATAATAAGAACGTCCCTAATATAAATAAATTGTGTGGCTTGCCACTGCCAACTGCCACCTACCACCGTCTCTCAAACTTTGCTTTCCCTGCCCTCATCCAAATCAGCTGTTAGCTCTGTACTCTCTTTAATTTTTATTTTTTTTTTTGGTGAGTGTAAACGACAATGTTTGGTCTGCGCATGTCTTCACCGAAAGTGTAAGTGAGTTTGCCGTCCCCTAGACAAAGATAGGCAGGGAGATAAAAGCGGAAAATGCTATAAATGTATGTAAATGCGAGTAGATACATATGTACATACATACATACATATATGTGTAATTTGGCAAGCGTAAATTTTTACAAGAAATGGAAGAATCGCATTTTATATGCTGCATCAGCGCCAAAAGGTGAATGCACTTTGTAGTAAATGCAACAGCGCTAGTGTTTACGTTTCTCTTTTTTTTTTTGGTTTTGGTTTTGTGGTGAAGCTGAACTTGTAAATTAATGCTACCCGCTCAAAGTTCATTGACAGGGAAGATGAAGTTCATGTCTTAAATCAACACGAATTCTCGAAAGTAATTCATATACATACATGGAGGAATTATAGCAGGTGAAGTAATTCGAGTGAGAAGAAAGATTTTGACACTGCCTTATTTGACAATTTGCCTATAAAATCTTACTATTTAGCTGCCTTTACATGAGGAGATTTTTTGACAGGCGATAATCGCATGTAAAAGTTGACTTGCTGTCTACTTTGAAGCAAGCGATTTTTCAATAACTATTTACACGAGCGATTTGTCCAGAGCAATGTTGAATCGCCTGGAAAATCGCCTCATGTAAAGGCAGCTTAAGGCAGCCGAATCGCAGAAAATAAAGCGAGAAATCTGTTTTATTATTTCACCTATTTATTGCGCCATAATTCATATAATAAAGTTTTTTAGATATGAAATAATCAGGCTGTGCGGATAATTTATGGAACGAGTATTGTTGTAATTGTTCTAAAAACTTTTCGGCGGCTTATTTATCTCAGGTGCTTCAGAAAAAGTAGCAGCTTAGATATTTCTTATTCCCTAATTTTTTTTCGCAGCGAGTAGAACTATTTGCCCTACTGGGTTGCTTAATTCTTCGCTGTCGCGGTTGCCTTGACGCTGGTGGGGTATAATCATCTCAGCTGAGGAGAAGATTTGCTACCCTGCCATTGCAAGGATGAGATTAAGGTACCTTTTACTTAAATACAATTGGTGAGTTTGCTATTTCGAGATGGAAATTAGTCATTCGTAAGAGTTTCTGTACTCCTACCGCGATCCTCTCGCGATCTCTTGCCTGGATTTCGTCACCGTTTAATTATCCTCTTCCCTTGTGTTTCCTCTCATTTACCCTCAACAACAATGTTACATGGTATCAGAAATCTCTGTTTATAATATCCGTCTAAATATGCCCCCTTTCTTAGGGGCTGCCATCTACGTAATTTAAACCTTGAATTAGAACCTTCTAGACTAATATTGCTGCTCTAAGTTATGAGTATTTTCGTACAACCATGCCTACAAGTGGTCTAATACTAAAAGAGAAAATATTGAATTATGTACAAAATCATTACGGACATGGGTACACACTTGCAATTCAAATAGGCAAATGGGTCACGGTGTTACCGGCTGAAGTATTCGTAATCTAAACCAAACCTTGCGAAAAGGATAAAGGACCTGTTGTTACTTATATTTTTTGATTCCTTCGAACAGTATAATAAAATCCAAGCAGCACTGTGAAAATTGACACGAAAAAGATTACCAGTGGATAGCCGCGCTTAGCAACGGTATGTGGTCTTAGACAAGCCAAGCTCTTTGGACATCCTTTTGATGAGAAGGATGTGGTTATATTTAATAGAACTATTACCAGATTCTAATAGCTACCATCTGGACATCAAACCTGTCGCATTCGAACGGCTGTGACTGCAAAGTCAGAATGACGACTCTGTCTCGAAAAGGCAGAGATTTCTTTGTGACTAATTTTAAAAATTAATTTTAAAAATTAAAAAGTATCTACAGTAGAACCCATTAAAATAAGGAATTCGCCTACCAAGGCTACTTTAACATATATTAGAGAAGCCAGATATTCTGGATAGTCAAGGCTAAGGACTCTCTTTGGGTATACAAAGGATCTTTGAAATTATTTAACTGACTAATAATCATATCATATCATAAGCTTTTGTTTATAAAATAATCCTTAGAATTAGAGGACAAGTTTCAACCGCTAATTTACAATGCGACACATGAAAAAGTTTCTCATAAATCCATTTGCCGTTCGTAGGCGGCCTAAAACTACATCAAGACGCGCGCCACCGTTGGCGAAATTCGGTCAAATACTTAACAAAAATGTGGGCGCCAATATTTATTTTAGTTTAGAGATTTTTTTATCGCACAGTGGTCGGAGAAGATATTTTTTACGCGAAAAATTAAAAGGGCTGTTACGATTATAATAAAACGTAAGTAACGTAGTATTTTTGTTATGCTACATCCGAATATGCCATACAATTTTTAGTTTAACAGTTGACAGCTGTCAAATCAACTGCTAATTTCTCTAAAATTAAGAAAATATTTTTGAAAAAAAAACTTATTTGGTTTTTAAGCACGTTAGTCAGGAATTTTATGTCAAATAAAAAGTTTGACAGTTGACAGTTTTCAACTTGACTATGAATTTTGCTAAAAATAAGGCAATCTTTATAAAAAACGCCACTGATTAGGTTTTTAGACATGGTTCAGCTGGCAAATAAACTGTTAATTTTTCCAAAAACAAGCAAATATTTTCTAAGATGCTACTGGTAAGGGTTTAGACACGCTAGTCACAAATTTTACTTACTACTATTACTTACTTACTATTTATTAAGGTATTTATAATTTAGCAACAAATTTTTACTATGTCATATTTCATATGAAATCATAATTTTCCATGTTTAAGAAGTAACTCCAAACCAGCAATTAATATTATAATTTGTACTTTCAATACAAAAACTGTTAAGAAAGCTCTCAACTCATAACAGTTAGAACATGCCACGATCGAATTCGTTGAATGAAATGGATTCAACGGCATGCTCAACAGATATTATTATGAAAAATACTAATCAGTTTTGAGTTCGCTTGACATTTCTGAGTAAGAATGGCTGTATTCCGGTTAACTTATCACAATTTTAAAATATGCCTTTTTCGCGTAAAACATTGCCAATCCGAGACCACTGTGGGTCGGCAGAATAAATATATGTATACCTACATATGTATGTAGGTATATTCATATAAACTTACATATTTATGTGTGTATACATATATTTCTATGTATCTCAGACGCATGCACATTTGCAGCTGTGAGCCATACGCAGTGGCCCAAAGGTGACATTGGCCTAGGAAAATTCCTTTGCTGCAGGGAAAAGCTATTCCACAATCATACATACATACACTGCCGGAAAAAATTATTGGCACAGAAACGCATCAATTCAAAGCATCAGTCTCTTTTATTTCTGAACCATAGGAGCTAAAAGTATCAAATTGGCACAACTTCACTAAAAATTGGTATTTCTTCATGGTTGCGCATACTGAAATAAAAGGGACTGAACATTGCATTAATGTATTCAAGAAGAAAATGTTTTACAATGTCTGCAAAATTGTATATTTTTCCAATTATTTTTTATAAAGCCAACAAAAATCAAAAAAAAAATCTAAACTTTTTGCAAAACTCAGGAATTGGCAGAGACTTGCATACACCGTCAGCAAAAAACATTGCCAAAAATCCTCTCGATTTTTTAGCAACATCAAACTTGCACATTATTTTACTAAAATTTAATTATTTGTTTTTGTTATTTATGGCCTTAAAACAATTATATTCAACAATTTTTATTGAGCTTGAGGTCGTCTTTTATGAAAATTTTTTACACATGAAAAAAGTTGAAAAAGCAACAACAGTTTACATGGCGAACTTAACTCAGCGGTTAGACTACTGGTTTTGGACGCTGGGGTCACTGTATCTAATCCCAGTAAAGAAGTCAGATGAGGACATGTGGTGATCTCCGAAGTAGAAGCTATAACTTCTACCAAAAATGTAAATTATGGTTGTTTTTTCCACAAAAAATTTCATAAAAAACGGCCTCAAGGTCAATAAAATTTGTTGAAAAATTTAAATATGTCAAAATTTGTTAAAAAAACTGTTTAGAAAGTTGCAAATTTGCATGGAAATTAATGGAATTTTGCTTAGTTTGCACGAAGTTTAGAAAATTTATTTCTACGTTTTTATTGTAGAATAAAACATTTTTATAAAAGTTAAGCCGTAAAATTAAAATAAAATCTTTTGCAAACTTTTTGAAAAATTCTTTGTGCCAAAACTTTTTTCCAGCAGTGTATATGCACGGCTATATGCAGTAGTACATACATACATACATATGTATTTGTGCGTATGGATTCGTATTAAAAAAAAAAAACTGAAAACTTTGAAATTTTACTTTAATCTTAACAGTAGTCTACCACCCATCATCTAAAACTGCTGGTGACAAAATAAATAAATAATAAGTAAAAAATAAATAATTTTACAACAAATTGTTTAAAAATTAGCACTTAAACAAAAAACCACTATTAAATCATTGAATTTCGCAATAAAGCGGGCTACGTGCATGAAGTCACCACTTTCATAGAAATTGCAAAAAACACTTTTTCTTCAGTGGCGTAATTAAGCCCGCAGCATGTGCAAACTTACACGTATAATATAGTACATACATACATACATACATGTATTTACTTATATACGCTCAAAATGTGAAATAACAAAATCGAAAAAATCAAGATATGTAATTATTCACATTGTGTATCTGCTAGATACTAGTATTAGCAATACAATCCCTAAACAATAAATTCCATTTACAGTTGAGGTCGCACAATAATTTCTATTAAATTTATTTTTATTTTTTTTATTCAATTGAACTTATTATATTTGCTTACTTTTTTGTTTACGCTGACTTTTTTTTCTTTTTTTTTGGTAATTTGCTCAATGAAACTTCTAAAGGAACTAACTAACTTTTAGTCAAAAGCGGCTTTTAAACACTGAAAAAAATACACTTGGCGGGAACTAAAGGCGCGTTAAACGTCTGCTCACGGCGACAGCGTCGGACTGTTTGACTTTGACTGGATTTCGCTCCGATACACAACTACTTGACGACGAGCGCAATATTCTGCTTTTAAAACGCTCTGCTGCTGCCGCCGCACAGTGGTTCAAAAGTGGCACTTGCTGTTCATTATTTTTTAATAAATTTGGTAGTATTTTTTTGTAATGAAAGCTTGAGCTTGAGTTATTTGTTTATATTAAATTATTTAGACGAAAGTGCAAAAAAAGTAGCAATTGTGAAGAACATCGATTTCCCTGTTCCAGTTAATATATCGAGCCCTAACCGCCAAAATAACGGAAGTGAAATTTTTTCAAAATTTTCTTTTTGATGCATAAATACATAGAATCAAAAAAAAACTAAATTAAAAAAAATGTCGTTTACGTTATTTTAGCGGTTAGGGCTCGATATGTTACATAATAAAACTAGTTGAAAACAATTTTGGGGCTACCCGAAAACCGAATAAAAATTAACAAAAAAAAATTAAAATGTTATGAAAAAATGTTCACCAAAATTAAAATTTTTCTTTTAATTTTTTAGAAAAATGTTGGCAATGCATAATTCCAGATCATTAAATTTTAGTATAACCATGTCAAGTTGCAAGTGGCTAAGAGTGTCGATTTTTAATAAAATATATACATATGTTATAAGAATTTAAACCTCACGAAACAAAGAGAACGCTTTTAGTTCCCATTTAGCATGCAGACGTGCACGAAAACTTAGCGGAAAAAAATCATTAAAAATCAAAACGAACTCTTAGCCACTTGCAACATGCACTCAAATGTATACCAAAATTTTTATAAAAACTCAAAAAAAAAAGTTAATTTTGGTGAAATTTTTTTATTTTTTTTTTATAATACTTATGTATATAAAATTTTTCTTGTGATTTTTTTTTACGTTTTGCGAGAAACCTCCCAGTGGGAATTAGGAGCACGTAATAATACCTTATTAGCAACTTACTCTTCACCTGGCAGCCATTACCATTTCCCTGCCGAACGTCCCTTACTTTTACAAAGGCATGGCCGCCTTATGTAAGTAGGAATTTAGAATGTACATTTGGTATCAGACATACTTCTGAGCCGCTTTACAAAGTAAGTTACGTGTAATGCAGAGAAGTCGCTCGGAGTAGTTCGGCGCTTGGAGATAACTTCGGCTGCACGTTACTTTGCAACTGACAACGTAATGTGTCGTTGTAGGTGTTCATTTTGTGCTTTACTAGTAGATGACATTGGCCATGACGACAATTTTGGTACTAAAAACTGAAAGAAAACATGGCTTACCTCGTAAGGTGCTTACCTATTTTCCCAGTGGGCTACATTTGTTTTCAACAAGTTTTCATTATGTAACATTTATTAACTGGAAAGGGAGAATCGATTTTCTTCAAAACTGCTCCTTTTTCTGCACTTTGCTCTAACAAATTTAATATATGTAAACAAATAAAATTTAAAAATGGACTCAATTCATCTCTTGCTAATTTTATAAGCTTTCATATAAAAAAAAAATTATTAATCAAAGCGGTTGAAAATTGAAGGCGCTAGTGAAATATGAACAGTAAATTCCAGTTTTGAACCACTGTACGCTGCCTCCCGTACTGCATTCAATCAATGGCTATGACACGACAGCAGACTATTGGAGTGCGGCTGCTAGCGTTGTTGGTGGTAACGTCGGAGGGGGGCCCAACAATCGCAATGGCCCCACAACACACAACAGCAGCGGCGGCGACGACAACCCAGGCACGCACGCATCGCTGACGAGTAGTGAGTAGAGCTGGCGAAATGCAAGGCAATGTGGTCCAAAAGCTGTGCAGAGGGGCGGAAGTGTGCACAATGTATGACGAAATTTTGGATAAAAGGCATGAAAAGAAACGATGGCAGTCGCGTCACATTGCTTCGCTGCTCTTGGTTGTGGCAGAGTTTGCGTATTGTTTGCTGTTGTTGTTCCTAACTACTAGCTATGTGTGTATGTATGTGCTCGTATTAACCGGCGGCTTTTTCGGTTGGTGTGTCAGCAATGTTTATTTGTAATTGCTGTTACTACTGTTGTTGTTGTTATTTTATGTATGCCGGCATCCATATGCGTCAAGGTGACCTTTGGGGCGAGAAAAACGATGAAAGAGAGAGCGCTTGTATTCGAGAATCAGCTGGCGTTTTTCGTCTGTCTTTTGCCATGGTAGTTGGCTGCCTGTTTATGTTGTTGTTGTTGTTGTTGTTGTTGTTGTTGCTGTTGCCGTCTTTATTGCTTTTTCATTTTCATACATTGCGTATTTTGGAAATGCCGGGAACAAAATTTCGTACCGTATGTGGGGGGTAGCCATGGCAAAGAACAGTAAGAAGTGTTCGTCTAGGTAAAAATGAGTCAGTCGGCATTATATTATGCGCGTTCCTTATCTCCCAGAAATAGTCAGAAAAAGTCCGAAGTAGTCAGATTTAGTCCAAAAAGCGTTCCTTAACTCGGAAATGACAGCAAAAATGAGAGAGCAACAGTCAGTGAGAGCGACTCTCATCAGTCCGAAGTAGTCAGATTTAGTCAGAAGAATTTTTTCTGGCAAAATCCTGAAAAGTGTCAAACTCAACTGAATTTAAATTAACGGAAATTAAAGAATACGCAAAAAGTGAGAATAATCTAAAAAGTAAAACAAATGAATTGAAATTGGAAGGAGGCAAAAGATAATTGATATAGCAAGTGTTTATTGTGCTGGTGCTTGTGTGAATGTGTTTTGTACATACATTTCTGTTGTTATTTGACGTTAGTTTTGTTGTTGCCATTCTTTGGACTAAAAATTTGGTTTTTTGCGTTCCTTTACTTTTCCTGTTACTCTCTTTTAGTGACCGCATTTTGCTTACGCTCTGGCATTTTGACACTTTTCAGATTTTAGTCCAAAAAGATAAGGAATGAACCTATTATTTCAAAAGCTCGGCGGCCGATTGCGATATTAATTATCGACTTTTTAGTTAACGGGTTGGCTAGTTAGCGTTTTTTAGTTAGTTCGACCACCTTTTTTAGCAGAGTGCCCTTGTGTAAAAGAGTTGATAAGGTCATATTCTGTAAAAATATTAGGAATGAAAAGATACCTACAAACATGCATCTCGGTCCGCCGGTCTGTGAACACGATAACTTGAATCAGAGCCGTCGAAAGCCGGGACGGGCGCAGGGAAGATATCAGCGACGGGCCTTTTGAATTAGAATATTTTGTTTAAACTAATATGTATTACCTTCCCACTGCACTGAAATCAGAGATTTCGACTTCGAAATCTTAATTACCCCTTTAAGTGTTTTCATCGCACTTTTTTTGGATTTCGTTGACATTTTATAATTTGTATTTATGTATGTGTGCTTTTGTTTATGTGCAGAATTTTGACATTTCAAGTGAAACAGTCTGTAAGGTTGCACTTTTTAATATCTAAAAGTTTGTTCGTTGAAATCTGATTGAAATTCAAGATATCGAAATCATTAAAATATATGCGATATCCTCCAACTTCAGTGCATAGGGAATGTACTAAAGCGAGCAATATGAGCTGACTGGTGAGTATGTATGTATGTATGTATATTAAGGTGGCGCAAAAATGCGTATGAAAAAGTAAAGTTGGAATTTGTATGCTCTCACCCCCTAGGATTGTTATATACCAAAAAAAATCTAAATCTAATCAACTCAAAACATTTTTAGAGAGTCGCTCAAAGCGCTCAAAGTTTCCCATGTATTTTATATGGGGAAAAAACCACTTTTCCTAGAAAAGGTGAAGAATTCTTGAAAAGCAATATATGTACATAATTCGATCGGAAAACGTTGCTTCTCTTCCAATAACAATACCCAATTATTTAATTAACATTTTTTTATAGTTACTATAATTTATAGGTCGCCAAAACCCCCAGAAAATTTCAGAAAATGCAATGGGGGAAAAATAAAAAAAATCTTTAATATTAAAAATTGGTTAAATAAACAATTGGATATTGTTATTGGAAGTCTACTGAAGATAAACAGAGTTTTCCGAACGAAAAATATTCATTTTAAAGAATTCGATACCATTTCTACGAAAACTTGTTTTTTCTATGCAACATACATGGAAAACTTTGAGTGCTTTGAGCGACCTCTAAATCTCCTAATTAAAAAAAAATCTAAATCTCCTAATTAAAAAAAAAATATATATATATATATATTGTTATTGTAACGGCATAAAAATACCCTTTAGAGTTTTTGCCATCTGCTGGAGCGGCAGTCCTTCACCAGATAGAGTTCTGTGCCGGTTACTGTCGTGGGAATGCCGTACAGCGCTTCCACGAAGCCATTCGGTTACTCGTATGTGGTGTTTGGTACCTTTTATGAGTTCTAGGTTCACGTACATAGGCTGCATTACTCCCATTGTCATGTTTGGATGCATCAGTGAATCAAACTTTGGACCTTTCGCTGATCTTATGCTCTGAGGTTTCCTCCGTCAGCCCACAGAACCTGCAGTCCGCCTCTACAGAAAGCCCCATTTTGTTCAGGTGGTACCTTAACTTGCAGTGTTCTGTCAGGTAGCCTGTAAGAGTTCTAAGACCTTCCCGGCTGAGTTCACGAAGTCTTTCTGAGTTCCTCCTAGAAGAAGTTATGAATTTCTTTGATTGTCTCATTCCCTTTGACTTACGCCAGTGGGCAGAAATCTCCTAAGCAATTATGCAGTGTATCCTCTAGATGTACCACAGAAAGGTTCGGGACCATGCACTCGCGTTTGGGCTCCACGTTTTGCCAGATAGTCAGCCCTTTCGTTGCCTTCAAACCCTTCAAGCCCAGGGAACCACCACAGCTCCAGTCAGAAGAGTTTTACAACTGTCCACAAGCCTTGATGTCGTTCTAAATGAGTCTAACGCTGGATTTACATGAGGCGATTTTCCAGGCGATTCAACATTGCTCTGGAAAAATCGCTCGTGTAAATAGTGATTTAAAAATCGCTTGCTCCAAAGTAGACAGCAAGTCAAATTTTGCATGCGATTATCGCCTGTCAAAAATCGCCTCATGTAAAGGCAGCTTAAGGCTCTAAGTGCTGCCTGACTGTCCGACATTATATTTATTTTGGCCCCATTTGTCCTTCTCCGAAGACATTCTCGAACACAGACTTCGATTGAGAAGACTTCCGCCTG